TGTGCCCCTTGCCCACCTCCATGCGGCGGATGTCGATGGACAGCACGGTGGTGAAGAAGAACATCTGCAGGAAGAAGTCTGACACCAGCCCCACCACGGCAAAGAGGCAGAACTCCTGTGGGAGGGTGAGACAGGGATCAGCTCCCCCTGCACCCCAGAGCGAGGGAAGCCAGCAGTGCCTCACTGATAACCTGGGATCCACCTCTGGTGCTGGCTCAGAGCCCAGGGCTGGGGGAGTCCGTGTGAGAACACAAGGTATTGATTCCAATTCACATTCTTTGTTCTCTTTGGCCACAATCCATCTCTGCTCCCAGGAACAAGGGGCAGGATGAGAGGAAAGGGCCTCAGGTTGTGCCAGGGGAGATGTAGATTAGAAATTAGCGAAATTTCTTCCTCAGAAGGGGCTGTTAGGCACTGGAGCTGCCCAGGGCAGGGGTGCAGTCCCCGTGCCCGGAGGGATTTTACATCTGTGCAGCCCTGGGGGACATGGGTGAGTGGTGGCAGTGCTGGGGACAGTTGGATCTGATGGTCCCAAGGCTTTTCCCTGGCTGTGTGAGCAGCTGCCGGTGCCTCCCTGCAGTGCTCAGGCTCTGCCCTGCAGCCCCTCTCACCTGGATGGCCGGCACCAGGGTGAAGTACCCGATGAGGATGATGCCCAGCTCCGTGGCCATGTTCTTCATGATGGACCAGCTCTCATTGCTCAGGCCTGGGGGAGGGCAGGGACAGGTCAGGGCAGCCTCCTCACTGTGCCTCACATGGACACAGCCAGAGGAGCAGCATTTCCCCTCCCTAAAACCAGGAATCTACAGGCAACAGGCCCAAAAGGCCCTTCCAGGCTAAAACTCCTGAGTGCAAAGGCCCACTGGAGTTCTGGGTCCTGTTTCCCATCTAGGACCCAAACCACTTGGATTTCTAAAACTAAAATCAGCATCGCTCTAGAGTCTCTTCTCCCTGATGTTTAGAAACAGCTTTGAAGACTGCAAATCTCATTTATCCATGGTGTGAGCATGCTCAAATCCTTTCACAGTCACAGAGCATTCAAAGACCAGAAAAGATAATTTTGTCACACATTCAGGAGAATTTTGCAGGACCTGCGTTCTGCACTTCTGATATCCATGACCTGAGGGCAGTGCTCAGTATCCAACCAGGAGATCCAGCTCTCCCCTACCAATATTTATTTATATTTATTTAGCCTGTTTTGGTCAATAATCCCAAAAGGCAGCGCCCACAACAGGAGCATTATGTTCTTGGTATTCACAAAAAAAGGCTGTACAAGTCACCTTGTTTCCTTCCCAGACCTGAATGAGATCATTCCCAGCCCCTGGTTCTCTCACTTTCCCCTCTCCCAGCCC